ATACTGTGATGGATGATTAAGTTAATTAAATTTGATTGTGAACATTGTATAACTAATCTAGTAAAAGCAATCGATTTTGATTTTACTGGGTATATTTTTGCTTCATAGGTATATCATCTTGTGCTGAGATGTACAGATTATGATTTCTATCTAATCTTCTGTAGGTTAGATATTAAAATACCGAGTTTCTTAAAGGGATATGTATATACGCCTAAAAAAATGTCGTTTTGCTGATACCATTCTTTTAATTAAACCAAAATATATATATTATATTATAAATTGATTATATATTCTTTTGATCTATAAGACATAAAATTTATTGTCGACATTTTCTGAGTACTTTCAATTACTAATAATAATATAAACTACTATCGATCTATACTACATGCCTCGCACCGATTTAAGACAACATCATTAAAAAGAGTATCAAGAAATGTTTATTGCTACTTCTACTGTTGCTTCCGTCTGTTATAAGCAACAACAATTTAACTGCAACAGCAACACATTATTTTACAAAACATTTAATTTTGGCAGTTTTCATTAAAAAAATGATTTAGCAGCCAAGCAACATTACTTTTTATAAGAGAATCAAAGATACATTTATGCAAACACCAACAGTGCGATATCATTCATATATTAACTATATATACATACATATGTATATATATGTTATAAAACGACAAAAATAAAATAAAGTCAGATATATAAAAATAATGCAGTAATAAAGTGAGTACGCGGAGTATCAGCAACAGCAACATCACACTTGAGCTATTGCTGCTCATGTTGATGTTGATGTTGATGCTGTTCATGATTATATGTTGTTGCAGTTGTCTTTAGAGATGTTGCTGCTATTAGGTTTTATGTTGTAGGTATAGTCTCATACACACTATCTATCTGACTGAATATTTTTATGTTTGCTTATTTGTTTTCCGTTTGTTGGTCCGTCTATAACTGTCTGTTAAATGCATTATAAAGATCATGCTTTGTTTGTCTTTTGCTGCTGCTGCTAGTTGAGCTGGAAAAATTCTTAACACAAACTGAACAGCAGAAGAAGCAACGACTAAGTAGCAAACAGCCAGCAGCCAGAAACCAGCAACCAGTCGAGTATAAGTCAAGCAACATTTGTTAGAGTAAGCTTAGGGTGCCAATAAGGGGGGACAGCATAAAATTAAAAAATCATGAAATCACTTGCTTTTAAAAGAAATTATAAAGCGTTTTTATAGTTGCATCATTAACACAGCTAACACCAAAAAGTCTGCCTGTTAAGAGGAAACGACACCCAAAAAAAAAAAAAAATAAAAAAAAATTTTAAATAAAAAATAAAATTAAATGAGCGAGGACATATGAAAATATTTAGTGTTTTATAAGGCGCATATTTTTAGCGCACATGTTGTTTTGCTCGCAACAAAACAGCGGCATCAACATGTTGACAACAACAAATACAATTTCGTTGAACGTAAACACAGCAGTAGAGCAGAGCACTGCAACAGCCCAACTGCAACGGCAAATGTTGGATTGGGTGAGTGAAAACATTTTCAAGTTATTTTTAAGTAAATGTAAGATACTACATATACTGCATATATGCTCTGACTATTACAACATTTTTATTATATTTATTATTTAATTATATGTGGTGGTATGTTTTTAAATTGGCACTTGAAAAATTAAGCTACGAAAAATCAGTGTTTCTCAACTCAGAATTCGCTAAGGACCAGTAAATATTTTTCTTGAGATGTCGAGTACCAATATCGTCTTAAAAAATATTATTGTGAAAGACAAAACCAACGTTTGAAAACCGCTGCATATAGTTTAAACTATACTATATTATAAATGCTTACAATTAAATGCATATAAAGAAATATTTTTATTTTGAGAATTTTTATTTCAGAATTTAATGAGTTTCTGAATACAACATAAATTTAATATACCAAAAATAACTGCCGGGCGCTTTTTCTATCGTCTTGGATATCTTATTGGATGTTCTCAGTGCAGCGGGTGCACATTTGTGAAGTGCAATATTTTTATGCTGTTGCTTGCCTGACGCAATTTGCCACATAACTCACAGTCACATTTTCAGTACCGACTGCCTGCAATTTACTTGTCTTCATTGACATTTATTTGTCAATATTATTAATATTTTTCACAGGCAAAAAAGAGGAGCATCCGACAGCATTAAATTGCATGCAACCAAATCTTGGCTGAACATTTTGTGAATTCCAACACAACATAAAATTTGCTGCTGATGCTGCCCGCACAACTCAGAAGTTGCACAGATCGACTTGGCAGCGCCTGTCAAAATGCCAAATGGACCATAAATAAAAACATCATTTTTATGTTTTTAAAGCTACAGGACAAAAATTAAAAATCATATAAAATAATTTCAAGAAAAAAATTATTTCTTTTTTATTTTTTAATTAAAAAAAAGAAAAACAAAAAGTATCTATGACTTCCTTTTTGACTGCATCGAAACGAAAGCATTTTTAATATTTAGCAGCTTTGTCGCAGGGAAGAAGTTCTCTGCTTGTCTAAATTTAGACCCAGTGCCTAACTGCTTCATCATAAAAATGAGCCATCACATTATGAGGTGCCTGCGCTGATGGTGTCTTTAATATGAGGAACTCGCACATATCTTCGACATTTCATACGCGTTTATATGTCATTATTATGGCTTTCGTTTTTGATAGCTTTTGTATTTGCCATAGAGTTTCCGATATATAGTAGACTATAAAAATAGTTGTACACCTCGAGGTTAAGTAGTTTCAGAAACTGAAAATAGATTAGAAGTCGTAACGTAAGCACACTGAAGTAGAGCAAATATAGCTTCAGCTGCAATCTTCCAATGATTTTATTTAAATTTTTTTTCATTTTTTTTCTTTTCTTTTTTGTTTAAAATATCGTAAATTAAGTAAATGTCAGTGTGGCAGGCATAAGATAAATTTTTATGAAGTTGCAAGCAAATCAACAAACTCGTAAGTATGTTGCAAAATTACAATAAAAATGAAAATGAACAAGAAAAAGAAAAGCGTGGCGCAACTCGTTATAATGCACATAAAGTGTAACTAGTAACTAGTCACATTAAAAAGAGTGCAGCTCCTTGACTTTGAGGGCCTTGAGAGCAGCATTATTTTGCTGGTGTTGTTAAAGGAAGTTGCAACTTGTGTTTTCAATTTTGATTTGTTTTTCTTTTTCTAAAGATACAAATTTTTTTTTTTCTTTTGTTCTTTTTCCACAAATTAAATATACTCAATTAGTAAAAATGACTGCTTGACTAAGACTTGACTTATGGTACGAGTAACTCGTAGTGACTGTGTTGAAGTGTGTTGCATGGACTCGCAGTTGATTTAAGCTGTCACATATTTGCCACATCTGGTCGCCTTCGTACTCGCATTAAGTGCATTACTCGTCGTCGCAAGAGCACGAAATTATTTTGTTTAAGAATAACAACCAGCATAAGAGTTAAGTTCCCAACAACAACCCCAGTAAGTAGTTTCAACGTCTGTCTGTTTGTAGTTATTTTTTTCTTTGTCTCAGCAAATACTTTGCTGCAGCAACAACTACTGTTGTTGCTCATTTACGCGTAATCTGATCGTACAACATTTTTGTGCCTAAGTATGCGTGTCCCACATATGTTCTGTCAATGCCTACGAAAATACATAATCTCCAATTACCAATATAAAGTGGATCCATACGAGAGACAAGAGTACCCAGCACACAGCAGACAACAGATAATCCATCATTTATGTTTGTTAAGCAAAACGAAAATAATTTTTTTTTGTATTTCAAATTATTTTATGAAAATTATTTGGGCAATTCAATGATGTACCGCCGCTGCCGCTGCTACTATTGTACTAGGGTTGGCGTGAAATTCTAGAAAGCTATGGGTAGATTAAGAAAGAGAAAGTAAACAGAAAAAAAATGCAACATTAATGACTCTTGAGGGAAATTAAAGCAGAATCTTTAATCAAACATTATTGAAAATTTACTGAAGTAAATGTCTGGGGGAAAGTTATCTGTTCTTTAAAATGATCAGAAAACTATTTTAGAACATTTCAATTCGTAAATCGAAGTTGCCGCATGGTTGATGTGATGAGAAACACCGACATGGTTAATGTGAAGATTGTATTGTAAAAAATATTTTATTTACAAATGACAGAGAATCAATATTACAAAGCTGTTAAATACTACTTCTAATCAAGAACTTTACAAATGAAATAGATTTGAGTGCCTCTATTAATACTACTTTTATTGTAGACAATAATTTGTTCTTGACATTATCACTCTATATACTATAAACAAACAATGTTATAATTATAGGGCATGGACCATAAAACTGCATTGCTGAAGCACTATTTTTGTAGTCATACATAAAACAAACTACTGCTTTACTAAAGCACTATTTTTGTAAGTTTTCATATTCGTAGCTGTAAAATAAAAAGCATCATAGACAGATATTTGATTTTATATTAATACACATTTTTAGTTGACGTCTAGCTCGTATTATTGTCATCTTTGTTTTAAAACAAATACTGATTATAGTACAAATATATATATGTTATATATACACATGTATTTCATAAACGTAAAATTTGAAAAGTAGAGGGTTTATATTAAAACTTTTATAATATATGTATAATGTATATGTATAATTTATAATAATGTATAACTCAATTTCAAATGCAAATTTGATTTTTATTCCCTCTAATCCCTCTTTATCTCACTCTCTTTCCATCGAAAATAATTGCTGACTACTGCAATTAGTGTTCTAACTGAAGAGTGTTGCCCTAAATAGTGCCTTGACAACAAGAACACACGTCTGTACTAATGATATAACCTTAGTAGCAAGACACAACTGAATCAAACAATTTCTTGACGTATTTTGAAAGATTAATTTTTTATTTAAAAACAAAGAATAGTTTATATCTTTTGGTATATGTCTAACATACTCTCGACTTACTATAGAATATATATATAATCACTTTTAATGAAATTTTTAAGCTTACCTGTTTGCTGAACATTGCTATATCTTCATTAAATGATTCTGACGAACAAACATCACCACCTTGCACACCAGGTTCTCTAGGCGTACATGTGGCCAGTTCACATTTTTCAAATATTAGCGCCAATAGGGGGAATAGTGGATGTCTGTAAAGAAATAGAAATTGGAAAAGAAAAAAAATAATTATCAAATGTTTATATGTTTATAAAAAAAGATAAAGATAAAGCGTAGGAATAATATTTATATAAAATCAAAAACTACAAAAATCAATAAAAAATAGTAATAAAAATGCCACCCTCTTCCGTAAGAGGAAGGCGCACATGCCAACACTCGGGCGCACATGACACCAACACGCATTGCATTGTACGTGGCGCACAGAGCAACATTTTTGTTTACGTTTTAGTGGCGACAAGAAACCGCCAAAAACAGAAAGTGGCTAAGACCACAACGCCGCCACCAAACCATGAAAAGCACTCAACAAACAAAGTGTCTATGTGTAATCTTAGAACTCTAGAGCCAACGAACGCATCGTTAATAACATAGGAGGTCGGTCGGCCGGGCAACATAGGCCTGCTGCACAGCATTTGATAAACTAATTAGAGCAATGGAGTAGGTGCCAATTGCAACAGTTGCTGCCATTTTTAGCATTTCAACTCGGAAAGCAGCTACACGCACAACGCAAGGCAAACAAATTCTGCTCTTAAACATTAACGAGTATAAAAGTATAAATATATAAAAATATAAATACATATATATAAATTACAATTTGTTGTCTTAAATAACGCAATTGGCGCTAGGAACTCCAGTGGTGTCGGCGGCGCAATAAAATCTTTCTTTTTTTTTTAAAAAAAATCTTATGCGCAATAGCAACAATGTTGCCACACTGCTGTTCCAGACACAATGTTTATAGAGGAAAAGAATTGATAAAAATTTATTGATATTCACAATGAGTCTGATGATCGTTAGTGTGATCGTGGTTGCAATAAGTTTTGTTTTGACATTTGAAAAGTAAACATTTCAGTCAAATCATTTTTTGCTGAAATTATAAATAATAATGTTGCTCGCTTTGGTATTTGTTTATTTACAAAATTTGTCTTGAGCGTGATTTGTCTTGAGTGGATGGATTATTATGATTTCCGTTGTTATTATCTAATAGTGAAACTTTAAATAATAACTAACATAAACATTTTTTTTTGGCTTGACAGCTTAAAAAGTTTTCAAGTTTATCTAAACTAAACAGTCAAACTAAATGATATGTTTACATACGTGCTCGCAAAATATTCTATATAAACAAAAGGAATTTCATACTTTGTTTATAGAGCAACATTTTATTGTTTATAGCAGTTGCGACGAATAGCGAAAAGCAGAAATACATAAATTGGTTTTGAAAAAAATGAGATATTACTTTATATGATACAATATATCGAAATGGAAATTTTTGTATGAGTGGAATTTGATGCTGTATCAAAAAGCTCAATCCACCCTTTCTGGAATATACACTTTTTGCCAAATGGTTACCGATAATCATCTATAATCGCTTGTAACTACTATTCATATGAGTATTTGGTCATTTTTTGTGTCTAATGTAGTATAAACTGAGGCTTTGTAATGCTTCAATTTCTCAAATACGGATACTGTATGTAATCCACGTCAAAGATTTACTACGTTTTAATTCATAACATTCTGCATGTTACGGGTAAGGAGTATAACAATACGTATATTTCTGATAGAATATCGCATATTGTCATGATTTGAAAATCTTATACCACGTATCTGATTAAAACGTCTTATATATTCCGTGTTTCAAATTCAGAACAAAATTGTATACTGTCTTAGGTAAGGATACTATATGTTGTGATATTTTTCTTTTTTCGAATAAGAATGCATGCTTTATGCACCATTAAACTAACCGTCGTCGATATGATATGTTCTACTCCGTACCGTGTTAATATGCAGTAACTCCTCTGCGGACACACTTATTTCCATACGAAACCGCTCTCTTATTACTTTTGGCAGGGTTTTCTTATGTTGGCATATTGCACCATATTCTCCTGATTTACGTTCTGCGTTCATCTGTGGTGACATATGATAAGGTACTAAAATTCATTTACCTTCCGCACTTTCAATTTTTAAAGCAAGTAATAACGTTCCCAAACTTAAATCACTTATTACGAAAGTAAAGGTGGTTTTACTTCGCATTTAAAGTAAAAGAAGACTGACTACAGAAATAATGCTGTGAAATATAGTATGTATATTACGAAAATATATAATAGCTGCCATTCTATGCATATTTATAATAAACTGCCATATTATTTATATTAAATTAATACATATTTACCATAAAATTACTACTATTCTAAAAATCTTTGCTATCAAAATACTTTGGATAAATGCTAACCTCAAACACGTATACACTCGCTTATAAACATTCCTGTTGTTGCTACAACATTTTCTTAGCAGCAACATGTGCTTAACCTTAAAATCTTATAATTCTTGCATATTTACTGCAATTATATTTAAATTGTTCGCATTCATAGCTAATAAAATGTAATAAAAAGCAAATGCTCTATATTATGAATAAATAGAATTAATATTAAAAAAAAAAAAACAAGAAAAAACCGAAAAAATTGTAATAAAACAATTTACAATTTCAAATATGAACTACAAATACATAGACGACGCAGCACAACAGTACAATGGAGTAGAGCAATAATTTAGTGGAGCAGGCAAGCAAGCTTTTTACCCGCCAAAAACCTGCAATGTAAACAGTAATAATTTATTTTAATCAACAAGTATGTGACAGCTACAGCGTTAAAAAAGGAGGGTCATTGCTGCACGAAATTGTAATAAATCTCAACAAGCCGAGCTGCACAGGCTGGCTGGCGGCTACCGACGGGGGCTGCTACACATGTGCTGCCAGCCAAGGCAGCCACCACACACACACACCATATGAGCACATATGAGTGTGTAGTCAGCAGCAAAATGAACACATTTGCGCCAAAATCAAGTGACAGTTAATAAATGAAAAGCAGATACAAGATTTTAAATAAACTAAAACGGTTAATTTTCACTTTAAAAATAAAATACAAAAAAAAATATTGTATAAAAATTTCACAGCTAAATTTGACTTAAACGAAAAATGACAGTAGCTGTCAAAAATTTGCACACAACCAATAGTGTATAATAAAGTAGCTGTCAAAAAATGTATTCAAAAAAAAGTGAGAGTGTGAAAAATGCTAACAAAAAGAGAGCAATGTCATGTTCGCAGCAGTTACGCCTTGATATGTGTGTGTGTTTGTTTGTATGTGTATATATGTTTGGATTCACTCACTCGTAAGAAGTAAATGTGTGAGATTGACAGTTCAGACAAGCCTGTTGATAGGTTTGACCAATATCTGTCAAAAAATTTTATATGCAATTGTAGGCAATTTAAGTGAATTTTCTTGCCCGTTTTAGTGTAAAATTTATGATATTTTATTTTTATTTTTACGCTTAATTTTTATTATTTTGAATTCTTCATTATTTATTTTATTTATTTAATTTTAGTTTTAAATTGTGGAGAGTCACACAGTTTGACTTTGTTGGCAGACAGGCAAGCAAACATAATGACAAATTGATTTTCGGATTTAAAGTTATTTTGATAAATGATTTGTTTTGGTTTCTGCTTTTATAAGCTAAACGTTTCTATAAATGTTTATAAAAAAAGCATAAAACTTTGATAAATTTATTAAATTAATAAATATTAAAAAAAACAAAAAAATGGCATAACTTGTGCGGATTAAGTGCAAATTTTTGTGCCATTATAGAGTTAGGTTTTTTTTTATTAAAAATTCGATTTCTTTTTTTTTTTTGGCATTTTGGAAATATGTAAATTTTATAGTTTAACCTCCATTTTAAATGCCATTGTTTTCTGCAATGGTTGAGGAACACAAAAAAAAACATCTGCCTGCAGTCAACTCACAACTCAGTTCAGTGTTAAAGCATTTATTGAATTTTTGTGTATTTTATACATATATTTTTTGTTTTTTTTTTTTTTGCTTATTTAACATAACAACAACAAACCCTAAGCCAAATACAACTATGAGCGAACAAAGAAAAAAAATTAATAATCCATGAAGTGGCAACATAAGGCAAAAAAAATCTATAGCCAAATTGACCAGCACTGTGTTTAGTTATTATACAAATATACATATATACCCATCAAACAGACATATATGTGAATATTATATGCACACATGTCTGTATGTATGATATTTAAGACAGGCTGTGTTGACGGATTAGGGTAACCCCTACTACTTCTGCTCTTTTACTGCACTTTTTTTTTTGTTTTTTGAAAACCTAATGAAATGCTCATTTTTCTGCATTTCAACAGTTTCAGGATATGTGCATGATTTTTACTTTATTTTTTGTTTTTCTATAGAACCAGAATAAGAGCAGCAGGCTTTATGGTTATCTAGAAACAAATTGCACCTGAACAAAATTAGGGTAACAAGCAGTGGTGCAGCACAATGTATTAAAAAAACTGTATGTAGCGGCAGTGTATGAATGGCATTAGCCGCTACTATTTGTGCCATTTAGCAGCAACTATAATTTTTCAATTAGAATTTCAAATGCTTTCGTTTCGATGATCAAACGTGGTAAGGACGGACGACATCCTACCAAAACGAGAAATGATCGTTTGACTGATTACCTTTGCGGTACTTGCATGCCCGGCTGCGTGTATAAGTTTTCAGCTTGACAGGACTAACTTGTAGCGCTCAAAAGCATTTTTCAAATTTCTTATAGCAAAAAAAAGTGTTTTAAAAAAATATTTTATTTAGAAAAACAATTTTATTTTGAAAAAAAAAATATATACCAAAAAAGGTTGACGAAGCAAATAGCGGGTGTTTCTGCTTAACTGACTATTAATAATACTACGAAAAAAAGGAATTTAAAGAAAAACTCCTTAATTCAATTTAATTGAAATTCCTTTTTTACACTTGACTGCACCAGTGTTAAAAAAGGACATTCACGCGCTTCAACACTAATGACTCCGCAATGCTTTTAACATGAATTCGCCTAATTTTATGAGTTTTTATGGAGGGCTGCAGCAAGTAGATTTAACAAGTAGTTAGTTACTTAGCGGACTTTGAAAAAAAATGAGACCAGTTAAATACAAAGGACACGTTGAGGAATCACAAATAAAATAGACAGTTATTTTGCGGCTAAAATAGCAGATTGGAACAAGTAGTGTTGACTCTTCACTGAGAGTGGACATTTTAGATTTGCATGTAAGAAAAGGAAGAAGTCAAGGTTGCCTTAGTCGCCATAGCAAAAATTAAGTTGATTGAAGGAAATTCTCAAGGAAATAGGACATTTCAGTTTAACATGTAAGAAAAGGAAGAAGTCAAGGCTGCCTCAATCGCCGTAGCAAAAATTAAGCTGATTGAAGGGAATTCTCAAGGAAAGTGGACATTTCAGTTTAACATGTAAGAAAAGGAAGAAGTCAAGGCTGCCTCAGTCGCCCTTGCAAAAATTAAGCTGATTGAAGGGGTATCACAAGCAAATCATGTAAGACCCAACAGAGTCCTTTCTCAAAGTTGCATACATGTATCAAATATAATATTATGGATATATCGACACCTATTGCCACTGAGCCAAAATCGGGTTCAATCAGTACACATGGACTAACAACTCTCCACACAGTTATAGTGCAGCCTCTTCGAGACCACAGTTTCACTACAACTAAATTCTCAATCAGTCCCCGCTTAATATGACCTGAGAAGAAAATCAACGTTCCCACAAACTGTGACAACATATATGTATATGAAACCCAAATAGGCAGTTCCTTATCGGCTACTGCAATAAATTCAATGTTGCTTATAAACATTTTGTCTGTCAGAAAGCAACATTTTACTCAAGTTTTTTTATTTTTTTTTTAATTTTTATATTAAAAGTGTTTTGTTTGCTTTTATGATGCCTGACGTCTTACTGAAGTGGCAAAATATAATGCGAAAAATGTACTACTTATGCGCTTTCTGTGTGCTTACGAGTTGTTAGTAAACACTTGAGCGAAGGTGTTAAGTTCTTAATAAAAATGTGCAGTCGGCGGTTTTAGATAATTTTTATTTTTATTTCAATATTAATACATGTTTCAATAAACACGAAAAAGTTCATATATTTTTTATTATTAACACGTGAAATGATAAAAAGCCCAAGATAAAATAATAGATGCAATATCAGCACACAATCTTAGCTGCTCCATTAAAATACATTTATCCTTTTGAATTGCCTTAAATGAGTTTCAAAACAAAAAACAAATAAGATACTTTATTAATTGCATTCTAAATATTCTTCTTCGTCATTTAAAGATACACATTTCAAATTTGAAATGAATTACATTCCTTTTGACGCATTTTATTTCGATAATTACGTTTTTATGAGCCAAGCAATAAAATTACAAAAAGGATACGAACATTATCCTTTCGCTCCCGTTGATGATTGCAGGATTGTTGATTCAGTTTGTGAAGAAGAAGAAAAAGGTGTTAATTATATATTCGTACAGGAACAAGTGAATTTGTGGAATGTGTATTCACATTGAAGGATCCTCGAGACGGAAGTGAGGCGCTAAAGCAGAGTAGACTTTTTACAGCTGCTGTCAAATTTTACCACTGAAGTGTTAATTAAGTTGTAAAATTCATTAAGTGATTGTAAATTTGAGTTTAAGTAGTGGCACAGCAAAGTGCATAGAACAGAAAGAAATGTTATTCAAATGTGTGAAATGAATAATTTATCTTTCTTTTTTTAAATGCAGAATAAAGGCTTTTAGTGAAGTTGTAGTGAAATAACACTGACGTAATAAATGACGCAGGTGTTCAATTGAAATGTTAAAAGAGTCTAAAGAGTCTTTATAAAAAATATATAATGAGCATTAAGTAACAAAAGAAATATTATAATAAGTGAATCATTATCAATTCAAAACAAAACAGTAGCTAATTGCAGTAACGATTCAATGATGACGAAAGCAGTATTGACCTTGTCACAGGATCCGCAAAGATATACAAGGCATTGAAATAGCTTGTACCAGTTAAAACAAGAAGAAGATAATTGTTCAAGAACAGCCATTCATCGAAGAGTACAATTTTTCAAGGAGCGTCATTCTTTGAAGAGGATCATTCTTTGAAGAGGATCATTCTTTGAAGAGAACCTTAATAATAATAAGAAGAAGATCATTTTTCAAGAACAGTCATTCATCGAAAAGTACCATTTTTCAAGGAGCGTCATTCTTTAAAGAGGGTCATTCTTTGAAGAGAGCCTTAATACGAAGTAAGATTTTATAACCTAAGTAAAATTGGATTTGTCCAAAAGAATCGCAAAGCTGTAAAAGACATAGGAATGTGTGCTCAAGCTAAAATACGAAGATAGCCATACTTCAAAGAGGAATTTTATGCCTTAAATAAAATTTATTTATCATTAAATTCATAAATTGGAAGGAGAGCTTAAAATAAAAGACGAAGAGGACAATGGATTTTATACCATAAATAGAATTGGATTTGTCAAACAATCGCCAAAGTTCTACAAGGTATTGTCACTGGAATATTAATAATAACAGAAGACAGGAACCAGTGAAGAAAAACCAAAATAATAACAAATAAAAATGCGAAAATGGAATTGAATAAGAATTGAATAGGGTCAAGTTTTGACATAGAATCCACACAACAGCAGACGCCCTGGTGCATCGCCTTTAACCTTAGAGAAGGACAATTGCAAAAGAAATTTTAGTAGCGCACTACACATGGAACGATATGTGCAGAGAAGCACCTAACAGAGTATAGCTTAAGAGAATCATTGCGGCTCTATGACCCATTAAGGGAAACGGATACTAAGAAGAAAAAGAGTGAAGAGAAACACAGTGAAATTCTTCGAAATCAGAATTTTGTAGCGTTCAATAAATGTATGCCGCATATTTCGAATAATACAGTTCAGTTCAAGGATTTCCGTTAGTATCAGAAAAACATAGCATTTAATATATGAATTCTTTAGAGTCAAAATAGTATAGCTTTCAGTTTAGTCTGTTTTAAGCAACTGTAACAGTTTAGTACAAGAAATTTCTTCAGGCTGAGGATAATGTTTCGTTCAATACATAGATTCTTTAGAGTCAGTATAGTTTAGCTCTCAATTTTTTTGTGAACATAACATAAGTTACTAAAATAATAATAAGTGACTAACACAATTTATTATAGGAATTTCCTCAGAGTCTATATATTTTAATGTTCAATTTCTAACACAAGAATGGAATTTTTTTTAACAACTTTGTTGAATAAGAAAAGTAAGAAATCAGCTCAATTTATGACGCAACTATAAAAATAATGACTTAGGTCAGTATTTTATAAATATTTTTTTTTTGCAGCTTTAAAATATTTAAGTGCAAAATTCTGCTTATTTTATTTACAATTCTCATTAATCATAAATAAATATGTCGCTTTTGTTGTATTTGTTTGTTGTTGTTGTTGTTGAGCTGGTTGAACGAACACTTCTTACTATTTGCAGTAAATAAATATAAGATATATTTATATTTATGTCAAAAATATGACATTTATAAGAACATAACAAGCTAATTGCATTGTAGATAAGTCGCCATTAAAGTCTTTAAGACAAATTAACACTTTTCAATATTTCAAGCATGGGGCACAGCTGATTGATATTTGCTCGATTGAGAATATTTGCAGTTGGGAATTCATTCATAAAGGCGAGCCTGCCAAACGAAGCGGTACGTGCGTGCGTGCGTGTTGTTGCAGTGACAAAAAAAACAACAACAAAAAAATTGCATTTTTTTCCAAACAAAAATTATACGGCCGAGTGTGTTGCTGCTGCGGCTGCATGTCATGCCAGTGCAATGTGCCATTCCATTGGTAAAAAACAAATATTTGCTTATTAAGTAAATTGCACTGAAAGGTGAAAAAGAATGCTAAACAAATAAAAAATCTATAATGAGAAGGAAGAGCAACGCGGCAAGCAAATTGTAGGTTTTAAGCATTTGCAAGGAGCAGCGAATGCAAGCCGCACATGTGCAGCAAATGCTGCAAGCGTACGTATGTATGTTGCCAAACTCAGTCGGCCAGTTGCAGTCAGTCGGCCAGTTGCATGTGCTACATATGAAAACAGTTGTACTTTCAACTCTGCAAATGCATACAAAACAGTTACCAAATATGGCAAAATCCAGTTGATTTGCAAGTAGTAAGTGGCTTTCAGGCTTTCAGGCCATTGCTGACCGCTGCTGGGTGCTGTATAGCACGCATGTCACCGTTGCAATAAGTCTGTAGTTTTTTATATTTTATATTTTATTTAAAAAAAATATATATATTTTTTTTTGGTTTAGTCTGTAATGTATTTGTGTGTCACACACGCAAACAAGACTGTCACACGCATGCGCGCCCGGCCCGTGTAGTTCTGTAGCACTGCATATGGTCACTGGTCACTGGTTGTGGCTAAAATGTGCAAGCTTTACTAGTCTCGACGATAAAAAAGCACAAACCGCACAGACCCACAACTAACAAGTTGAGGCCATGGTCAACAGGATTATTAACGAAATGCAGAAAAAAATTTAATTGAATTTTGTTGTTATTTTAAGCAGTTTTATGCAATCTAAAAAAAAAATTATATTGGATTTTATTATATAGTAAAGTGGCTTAGCATAAACCAGGCTTAAATTGAGCTTCAATCAGCTAAAATATTTACTTCATTAAAATTCAGCTCATATGCAGCAAAACATCTATTAGCACCTTTCTTTGCGGGTGCAGAAAAAAATTTAAGCTGAATAAAAATTATTTTTTTTTCTGTTTTCTTTTTCTTTTTTTTGCTCATGAGAAAATCCCCTAATAAATTTGGCATACTTAAATACAGGCTCAACAGAAATGAGCATTTAAGGGAACCACTAATTTCATGATTAACCCTTAAGCACGCCTACAAAATCAATTGGACGAAGCAAAGGCAAACGAAGCGCGCGTGCGTAAAATTATTTTTGTTTTTTGCTGGCTTGCGTTTTTTTTTTTAATTTTGCTTTTATTTTGTTTTTTTTTTAGACAGTGTTTATATTTGTGTTTTAATATTGTTTTTTTTTAGAATAAAATTTAAAAAACTTATTTTTACTTACTCATAAATCGCATCCTTATCACGTTTATGCACTTCGGGTATTGCACCCATTAAATGATTAGCAACCGGTGATACATGACTAGGTGTACCATGGCCACCAGCACCAGTGTGATAGCCATGCATGCCAACTGTTGCTGCCGCTGCTGCAGCCGCATGTGTCATGTGTGGTGAGTGATGTGATGGTAGGCCTTGTAATCCAGGCGGCCGGTGACCAACGTGTGGATCATACATGGCAGCTGCGGCAGCACCCGAATCCATACCATAGCCGTGCAGGCCATCGTCATACTGAAAATAACAAAAAAAAAACAAACAAAATATTGATTATTATATATTAATAAATAAATATATATAATACAATAAAAATAAATAACAAATAAATAAATTTAATATAATTAAAGTAAATAGTATTATAATAAAAATAATTTATAAATAAATATATATAACAAAAATAAATGGAAATAGAAATATTAATAAGTAAATAAACATAATATAATAAAAATAAATAGTAATAAAATAAAAATAATTCATAAATAAATATATATAGTATAATAAAACTAAGTACTTATAAAATAAGAATTATTAATATAAATAAAAAAATATAATATAATAAAAGTATCTAATCAATATATACATTTTATTTAATAAATTAATAAAAATCATATTAAAATATATCTAATATAATAAAAATATATCACAAATATTATTTTGAACAACTCTTAAAAAATATAAAAAATAGTATATTTAAATGTTTGCTATAAATAATTAATAAATAAATATTAAATGTATAACAAATTACTATTATAAGTAATAAACAACAACATGAATAAATATTAAATAAATTAGTTAGTAACAATATCAATATAAATATAAATATATATATTTATGTATTTCTTATATTTGAAAACAATATTGAAATAAATTAATAAATACTAAATATATCAATAAAAATTAAACCAAATAAACATTATAAGTAATAAACAATAGCATGAATAATATGAAATAAATTGATAAGTAACAATATCAATATAAATATAATGAAAATGTTGATTTTTTTTTATATTATATATAAAAACAATATCAAAATAAATATTGAATAATTAAAATAATAATTTTAACAATATAAAAAAATCTGGATTTAGAAACATTAATTTCTAACAATATTTAAAAAATATTTTTTTAAATTTTTTAACATATATAATATATAAAACTATTAAAAATAAAAACAGTTATATAGGAATTATGTTTTAATTATTTATTATATTGAAAAAGAGTTTGAAGGATATATTATTCTATTGACGATTTAAAACTTATTAATGTTTCAATTAAAATTTTTTGTTCAGTTAAAAATTTTTTTCTTTAATTTTGAATTTAATTATTTAAAATTTAAAATTTTTAATAATAATGAAACCACAACAATTGAATTTAATTTATATTTACTTAATTCAATAAAAAAAATATTTAATAATAAAGTTATTGATTTATTATTTTTAATATTATATATATTACTTAGAATTTAATTATTTAAAATTTGAATAAGAAATAATTTCTTATATCAATTTCAATTTTTTTTATATTAGACTGAACTCGCTAATTCCATAGGCAATAAACTTTTGCGAATTAACATTTCTAATTAGTTTTTTAAACAATTAACTTACAGTAGTATTCGGTAAAAACAATATAATTTAGTTTGATATTAATTAAAAAATGTGTAGATTAAAGCTTAGTCTATTAGTAAATTGTTAAGAAAAAAATTAATTAAAATTTTTTAATTCGAAAGAGTTACTGAATACAGAATTAACGACTTAAATCTCAGTATACCTATTTTAATCAATTGTTACAAATTTTTTTTTAATATATATATAAAAATTCTTTCTTATAAAGTATATGAGCACATTTAATTAAAAATTAAATTGAATAAACTAATAAAAATTTTAAAAATATAAATGTTGAAGGAAAAAAAAGCAATGTAAATTAATTTTAAAAAAAATTAAACTGCAGTTGAAAAAATTTCAAATGTGTGTAAAAAATTGCAATTATGGCCGGCATCTATTAACTTTTTTCTATATATCAAGAAATTTTATCTTAACTGCTTTTTTGCTGCTATCTGCTATCTTTCTTAAACACATATATACATATAATAATAAAGCAGCAATTACACGCTACTTTGTGCAGTTATGACTTGTTTATAATGTTGCTGCTTGCGCTTGCTGCTGCTGCTGCTGTTGCTGCTGCTGCGTCATTATTGTTAGCATACAAATTGTTATTAATTAAATTTAATTATGAAATAATCTTAACAATTTTTATATTTGCACGTTTGCATTTCTGTATATCTGTATATCTGTATGTCTGTATTTCTGTATTTGAGCCGAGTTAAGTCATAAACTGGCATTCGCAGATACAAAAACTCAAAATAAAAAGCAAAATTGCATGATCAAAAGAAGCAAAATGCATGCTTTTTTGCAGCAATAATTTTGCTATTTGCTTACTCAAGCATTTAAAATGAACTCTAAATTAATTCGTTTCAATTAAAAATTGAAGTATAATTACTAATATAAAAATATAATTAATTTGTTTCGTTGAAAAAGTGTTGTGTGTTTTGTATTACAAAAATGTTTACTTTAATTGAAAAAAGCGATAATCTTATATATAAAAAAAATTATTGTGAAAGGTTGCACAAATACAGGAAGTAACAAAGTTGAGAGAAAAATGGTAACAAATTGAATTACAAAATTAATTTTTTACAGTGTAGTTTTTGTACATTTAATATATTAAATCTCATCTAAGGGTTTCGAGAGTTTCTTCAGGTTTTCTTTTTCTTTCTTTTTTGTGTTATTATATTTTCAAGGAAGTTTAGTTTCATACTATGAACACAAAATCAATCCATCACACTATCTAAGAGTTTAAAAAGTGTGGGCGAGTACTAACCACTTCATGAAATTGATGATATTACTTTGCTCTCCCTTTAATCCGAAGCTATTTAATCTATTTTTTATGCTTTCATTTTTTGGTTCCCAGCAAATTCGAATCATTCGTCACAAAAATAATAAAAAAAAAAAAAATACGTTAAAATATTTTAAAACACGTTCCCATCGCTAAAAACTGTGTTAACAAAATTTTTAAAAAATTAAAAAAAATATAAATATTACGAAAAAAATAAAATGGGTAAAATTTTGTAAATCCCGCTTTGGTGACAACAACTCCATCAATATCGGACACGTATGACCTTGTAAAAATATCTACAAATGCAGTATAGTGTAGACTCCCAGGCAATTCATGAAAAAATTAACCAAAAAACAGAAAAAAGAAAAAAAAAATTGTACGTTTTTTGCATATTAAATTAGTAACAAATATAAAAATTACTTGTCAACTCTCTGAGTTAAATTAAAATAAATACAAGTAAAAAAAAAATTTTGTTAATTTTATCAGAAAATCTGTTAAAGTAAAAATTAAGTAAAACATTTAACGCCACAACCAAGCCACAGAAAAGCAGACTGAGACGCAGGAGACGAATTAAATACTGAACAAGACGAAAATCAAATTTTGAAAAAATTGACAAAAATTACGTTAAGCATTCACACAAAGCGTACCGAGTACGTTTAAAAATTCAACAAGTCAACTGCAGATACAAGCCTCAACTCAGCCTTAACTCAGCCTTAACTCAGTTCGGTTCGGTTCAGACTGAAGATGTAGTTAGTCTTCTTGTATCTGCAGCACAACTTCGACGACGGGTACTTGTATATATAATTGTCAGATTTTTATCAAATTTACCCTGTTTGGTACTGAGCTATGGTAAATATTTCACACCGCATATTTTGTGCTGTTTCTGAATGGCTCCGGCAGTGCCACAGCCAGTGCCGGTGTCGGTGCCGGTGCCAGTGCCAATACCTCACTCACTACGCAGTGTCAGTCAAATTAAAAGGTTTTTTTTTTGCTTTTTATTATTCATTTTGTATCTTATCATTTGAAAAATATCTTCAAAAATATGTACAAAAGAAATATATTAAAATTTATTTATATATATATAGTATTTCGTCTCTTTTCACATCTCACAACAATAACAAGTGAATTGAGCAATTGACAGTTGGTGTAAATGTCAAGTTGACAAAAATTTTGTATTGAATTGAACAAGTGCAGAGATTTTAGTTGCCTGATATTGGCTTGCCTTGTTGTAGATACAATCTGGGCTTATTATTCCATTTTATACTACATAACGAGTCAAAAGTGCTTGGGAATTAGGCAAATAAATATATAAAGCTTTTAACAGGTGTTAAGGCGCTATGAGATTTGTTTTTTTTTTTTTTTGCTTTTGTCTGAAGGCTGTATCTAGTTGACATCAAGGTAATAAGTGAGACCGGCATGAGGAAATTTAGAGCAGGTGTCAATAATGAAGAACAAGAAAATAAAAAATAATTTGTACATCGAAAATCCATACACGCAATGAACTATAGGGTGTCTCAAACTATGATAATTGAATAGAGTGTGGTCAAAAATCTATATACGAAATGAACTATGAGGTATCTCAAACCACAATAATTTAATAGACAAATAAATGACAGATAATCTAGAAATTGTAAGAACTGTAGTACTATAAAGATGCTCAACAAGAGAACTCAACGGATTTATTTATAAAACTATTTTGGGGCTCTTAAAAACACAGAACATATTTAATTTTAATGCTGAAAGCCCCTGTGAGTGACATATTTGCTTAAAAATTTTTGGTTTATTGTGATTTTCACAATTTCTTCAATATTCATAAGAGTCAGGTCTGCCTAAGAACAAGACTATCAATTAGCTAATGACCGGCTATATAAACTGTATAGATAACCTACATTTTCTGTAACGACTATATTACCAATATTATTTCATATTAATTTATATTCTCTGATATATATAACTAGGCGGAATTAAATAAATAAAAACAAAAAAACAAATATTAATTTATATCATTGTAATAGTTATATAGTTATAGTTCTTATAGACCTTACAGTTATAAAGTTATAGTTATAAGACCTTATAAGTTCCTTTACTTTAGCTGTAGCGCCAATGAAAAAAAACCTTTTGTTTTATTTATTTATAAGATTTAAAACAAAAATACATATAATACATATACATATAAATATTTATATATATATTATATATATTTATAAAATATTTATGTTATATAAAAATAAATCAAGAAATTTAAATACGATTAAATTAGTTGAAAGTATATAAATAAATAAATTAAACTAAAGATTAAGAAATTCATTTTATACAAAATTAAAGAAAATAAAGCCCAAGTATTT